AAGACAGGCCCCTGCCCATAAGGGGTTTCCAATCTAGTGGGAGAGACATATCCACAACTGTAGGACCAGATGGACAATTACATGGGCTGTAATAGGTGTATAGGCAGAGTCCAGTGAGAATACCTAGGAATGAAGAAGTGGACCTTATGCTAGGTTCAACAGGCCAAGGGCTGAAGTTAGGGCTCTTCAGACTGTGAACCCCATGCTGAGGGTCCTGTATTCCGGGGTAACCAGGGCAGGGAGGGTGCCCAGGGGTGGGGTGTCCTGGGAGACGCCGCTGTATGGGACCATATCTGTGGAAGGCCTTGGATGCCAATCTCAGCAGGGGCCATCCTAAATAAAGAGCCAACAGATGTTTTATGACAATTAGCATAAGGGAAAGGGGGTGGATGTGTCAGCAAAGAAAGTGGACATAGGAAAGCATGCAGACAGAAGGCCTGTGCCGCAGGGCTGTGAGGCACAGGGCTCGGAGCTGAGCACTGGCAATGGAATGGAGAGGAAGGCAAGCATTTGAAAAACAGTCAAATTGACAAGAAAGAGGATGGTTGAGCATAAAAGGAAGCAGAAGGAGATTCTGAGGTTTTTGGCCCTAGTTTATGGTTCCTACAGAGGGTTAGAGAAAGAATTAAAGAAGAATAGGTACTTCAGAAAATTTTTATTAACATGTACTTTTGCCTTCCCCAAGTGAACTATTTGCTTTAGGTCTTAAGCTATAAAACAGTAATTGATTCTAATAGATACATCGTTTGTGAAAACAGTTATTTAAAATATACAAGATGAACCCGGGGCATCTTGAAATGCCAAAAAGTGAAGAAGTATTCAAAAAATAAAACCAAACATATAATAATGAGAATATGTGAAAAGGACACATAGGCTCTGAATGGTCAATGCTAGAACAATTTGAGCAATAAAAAAAGGATTGAATTATAACTCTAAGTATATTAAACATATCCATGAGTCCATAGTGATATAAACAAATGATTGAAAAATAAATAACTGGGAGAGAATAGGTAACTTTCTTATGAAGGAGAATTCCAAATAATTTATGTAGATACTCTTCCCTCGAGGAAGGAGGGGGAATTCATTCATTGTGGGTCACATAGAGTAACTTCCTTCCAAAAGGTGCAGTATGGAAAGGGGGGAAAGGAGTAAATTTACAGTAGAGGAACCTCACAAACACTACTTTGGCCAGATGATCAAGATCAACATCAATGGTCATAAGTTGTGTTGCTAGTATGTATCTTCAATATGGTGCTATGAAAATGGCACTTTACCTGTGTGGGTCTTCCTCCTCAAACCCATAACCCTAGTCTAATCATAAGAAAAACATCAGACAAATCCAACGGAGAGGCACTCGAACAAGATACCTGACCAGAACTCAAAACTGCCAAGGTCATCAAAACCCAGGAAAATCTGACAAACTGTTACAGCCAAGAGGAACCTAAGGAGACATGAGGACTGGATTCAGTGTGGTGTCCTGGATGGGACCCTAGAACAGAAAAAAGACATTAAGTAAAAACTAAGGAAATCTGAATAAAGTATGGGCTTTAGTTAAAAACAATGTGTTCATTAATTGTGACAAATGTACCACACTAATGGGAGATGTTACTATCAGGGGAAACTGGGTTTGGGATATATAGGGATCCACTGTATTATTTTCACAATTTTTCTATAAATCTAAAACTATTCTAAATTAAACTTTTACTTAAGAAAAGAGCCCAATGATTTAGTAGAGAATGGTTGATTATACTTAGGCCCAGATGAAGAATAAAACATTTCAAAGTCGGACTTCCTAGCCTATAAGAATGAGGTTGGCCATTAACATCAATGGAGAGTAAAGGCATAAGATTAAGAAATACCAGGGTCCAGCAGAAGTAACACCTGCTTGAGTGTGGTTGGCAGGGTAATAATACAGGTGTAATAATTTATAGTTTAAATTTGAATATTTCACCTAAAATATCATATAGTATGCTTGAGAGTGATATTGTTATGCTACAGAATTACATGCTTTTGATTTTGTAATAAAAGATTTTATAATAAAAAGGGGGCGTTGTTTGTGCCAAACCCTGTAGTTAGTAGTGTATGTGTGTGTGTATGCACTGAATGCACATGGAGTTTGGGCAGTTGAACATCTGGGTGACAAAAAGCATCCCTTATCTCCAACACCCCTGCTGCCAGCTCCATCTCCTACCCACTGCAGCTGGAGTCCAGAGGAAACTGTTAGGGGACTATCGCTTTCAGTTAAGATGATGTTTCCCACACTTTAGTATACAAATGAACTCTTTTTAAAGAAAAAGATACTACCCCAGGTGTCTGAGAATATGCCTGGAGACCCAAGTTCTAGAAACTCTAGATTAGAAACTAAAGCCTTAGTCTTGAAAGTGTCTTTCGGTTGCAAATGATTACTGCAGGAATTGTTTCTTTAGGATAAACAAAATATTGTTTGTGAAATGAAAACCCACAAATAAAAACTATTATCACTTGCAGAGTTTTGACAAAAGTGTCCTTGGATGCCCAGGTCAGGAAGCACAGCGCTGAGTCATCAAACTCAAGAGAGAGAAGATGAAGGAAAAAAGGCATAGTCATGGGGAGGCCCAGGATGATATCTGTGCGGTAGGCCCAGGAAGCAGCCGGCTCAAAAGGAGTAAGCTCTTGGAGGCAGACCTTCCAGGAAAGAAGTGCAACTGATGGTGATCTGATTGATGCTTGGTCTGTGAGGAGGATTGTACTTTGAAACAATTGATCATGTGGAACATTTGGGAAGGATTATCCATTGTTATACAGCAAATAAAAAACAGGCAAGTATTCATTTCACTTAAAAAAATGTACAGGCTTCCAGACGTCCAGCCTAGATGGAGGTGTAGTTAAACACGCTTCACCTCTGCACACAACTACAGCAAAAGTTACAGCTAAATTATAAAACAAATAACACCCAGATTTGTCAGAAAATTGAGCTGTATAGAAGTCTGACAACCACGGATTTAAAGAAGCCACATTCATCCAGACAGGTAGGAGAAATGGAGGCAGAGGCGCAGGAGGAGTGGAGAGGAGGTGGAATGGGTGGTGTCACATTCAAGTGTGGTGGATAAAAATTGCAAGGGACAGCCCTGCCTGGTGTGGCTCAGTGGGTTGAATGCTGGCCTGTGGACCAAGGGGTCGCTGGTTTGATGCCCAGTCTAGGGCACATGCCTGGGTTGCAGGCCAGGCCCCCACCCAGTACAGGGCATGTGAGAGGCAACCGCACATGAATGTTTCTCTCCCTCTCTTTATCCTTCCCTTCCTCTCTAAAAATAAATAAAATCTTTAAAAAAGATCGAAATTATGAACACTAAAATGGCAACAAATGCAGAACAGGAACAGAGTCATAGATATGGAGATCATTTGGAGGGTTATCAGCTGGGGAGGGAAAGGGCGAAAATGGGGGAAAAGGTACAGGGATTAAGAAGTACTAATTGGTAGTACAAAATAGACAAGGGAATGTTAAGGACAGTATAGGAAATGGAGAAGCCAAAGAATTTATATGCATGACTGATGGGCATGAATTAAGAGGGGGTATTGGGCACAGGCTGACAAAGAAGGAAAAATTGGGACAACTGTAATAACATAATCAATAAAATATACTTTAAAAATGTACAGGAGAGGAAAAATAATCATGATATACTGCCTGGCTTAAAAATTGCAATGCAATTTTTTAAAGAATAAAAATGAGAAGGCTTAAAGGTGCCAGATCTTTACATAACATAGGAAGTCAATAGGAAGTCAATAATGTCTAAGATCAATAAATGAAGACATGGCTAAAAAAAAAGCTGTCTTTAAGGAGTAGGACAGGGAATAAGAAAGGGTAAGTTAAAAGGCTTTTTCACTGTAATCCTTTCAGTGCTTAAGATTTTTTAAAAAGTCTATATTACTTTGCCTATATACTTTAACAAAAAGACACAAATTATAACCCCTCACTCCTGGCGTGTGGTTCCAAGTGAAACTGGTGAAATGTGAAGGCGAGCACCATACACAAGTTGATAGAAGTCTCCAGGGGTCGGCAATATTTGAACCAAGAACACCATCCTCTGCCATTGGTGACAATGACCCAGTGAGACCCTGAGAACTCAGTATCTGGCAATAGTCCTGAGTTTGTCCCACTAATCCAAATCCCACAAAATCATGGGGGAGAAAACCCCCACATGTGAGACAGGTTGTATTCAATTTTTCCCCAGAGCTTCAGCAGATTCTCATCCTAGCTGCCTTACTTAAGGTAACTGCCCTGGCCAGACCGCCTTATCTGCCACAAATGCCCAAGCTGCCAGGCTGAGAGCGTTTGTGTGGAGCTGTGTCTTCACTCATGCTGAAGAGGTTAGTGGAGTCCCTTCTGCTTCACATGAGCAAGGCAGTCCCTGGTCTGTGTGAGTCTGGGGCCCCAAGCTTTGCAACAGTGGTTTATTCTCAGTCCAGTGTGGACTTCTTTGCTGGCTCACCTCCCTAATGAGAACCTGTGTGTTTATTTGCAGAACGATGACGTCTCTGTCCTCATAAAGTCGATTGCCCTGCAAACTGCTTCCCTCCAAAGCAATGTATGTTCTAAATGGAAAGTTCTACAGTTAAGTCACTGACTTAAGTCAGTTAAGTCAGTTTTTCTGTTCCCTCACTCTACCCTCTGGATTCCTAACTGTGCTAAATGAAATCCAGAGTGAATTTACAAGGAGACACTGATGGAGAGAAAGCCTTTATTTGGATTACAAACATGGGTGATGTAAGAAGAGGCATATGAGAACCAGATTAGGGCGGGAGATTCTTAGGGGAAGAAGAGAAGAAAGGGCCCTCTGGGAATCAAGCCAAAAGAGCAGAGGCTCTAGCTGTCCCAGCCCTATGCATGTTCCGTGGTTGGCACCTGGATTGCTCGGTCCTCACGCCTCTGGGACTTCTCTTTCCTTGGTACGTAGTCTCACTGCTGGCCCCCTTTCCTGGTCTCACAGTCCTAAAGTGCTCCCTCCCCAAACTGGGTGGAGGACTACAGTTTTGTACCCAAATATGCTTGGTAGCAACTACTTAGAAGCTGTTACTTGTATTTTTTGGAGCTTTTAGTTATTTCGACATCTTTGGACCACCAGGAGTGGCCCCTCCTTTCACCAGAGGACTCTGATTTCTCTAGTAAGGAAGGTCCTGGCCAATCAGTCCAAGATGGGCCTGGATTCTCTTCCTGGTTGGTGTCTCTGCAATAATGCTCCCCCTGAGTAGAAGGTGCTGCAGCAGCAGGGGATGGCACCTGAGATTTCAGTCTGTGGTGAAAGAAACGTGGGAGAGGAAAACTCAACCCTCTTTCTCCCCCAGGCCCTGGTTCTTAAGCCCCACCATAGCCACTTTCCTTCCCAAACTAGAGGCACCACTGCGAAGTCCCCATCTGGTGGAATGCCCTTCTCCTTTCCCAGGCACCACAATTCCTCCCACCCCCTCCCCAGTTCTTAGGCCAGGCCATCCCTCAGTCTCACCTGCAACTTCAGGCGAAGGTGCACACTCCTCACATTCCCATTTCTTACTGTTGGATCTAAGAGAGGAGCAGTCCCTATGGGTTCCGTGGGATCCGCATGTATCACACAGAATAAGGCTCCACCTCCTACAGGAAGACAAAGAAGGGTTGTGGGCATAGGTATAATACCAACTATCACTCTTGCGATGTTCGCTACAGGCCAGGCCTTTGCTGAGGGCTTCCTAGGCATTTTTTTACTGCACATTTTACCCATGATGGATGGGTGGCTGTGTGCTGATGCCAGGAACCTGCAGTTAAGCACAGACACTCGAACGGTGGATTTGGAAACGAATTGGCCCTCGGTGTCTCTCCACTGGGCACAAGAAGCAGAGGATCCCTCAGAGAGACCTGTTCTCATGCGAGTGAGTGAGTTCTGGGCTGCTCAAGAATGGGACTTAGCAACTGCATTCATCTTGAGGTCTGCATGTAAAAGTGCATTTTTTGCTCTTAATAACTGTGCCAAGGTCTAACTCTAAGATGGCACTGATGAGAGGTCTTTCTAGCCAGGAGCCTTTTCCTACCCTTCATCTTCAAAGTTGTCTCTGCCTTGTTCATACAAACAGATGGGGGCATCACAATGCTGATAACGCTGATACAAGTCTGAGAAAGCCCCTGGCTCAAGTTCCCAGGCAGCGTCTCTGCAGCGGGAGAAGAAACAGTGAGTAAGGGACATGTAATTGGTTGCTGAACCCATTGTCCACCTGGGAAGAACTAGGAAGAATTCAAACTAGCACAGCAAAAGAGCTCAACAGGCTGCCTGAGTCATTTCAGCAAGGCTGGACAGGTGGCCTGGCAGTGGGAGAGGCCGGAGCAGGATGACTGGAACATGGGGGTTCCTTAGTTTCACACTGGAATCCAAGAACCTACCCCAGCCCAGGGAATTCTGATCCCCAAAGTGCCCTCTTCAGAAACATGCCTACCCCCAACCCTCACTGCCCCCCCTCCTTTTCTTTTGATAATTGAAAAGCTCTCCTTCCATCCCTTCCCTCTTCACCATGTATCAATGCTGTGGCTTCTTCATTCTCTGAACTATCCTCACACTCACTTCCTCTCTAGAAATCTAGGCAACCACTCCTTGGCTCAATTCCTGCTTTAGGGTTTCCGCTACCTGTCTGGAATATGAATTCCCATTCTTAGCATTTCTTGAGGAAACTCTTCTCGATTGTTACAACGTGGACATTTGAAGAAATGCTTTGCTGATGTGTGGGCATATTTCTGTAAGAGAAACATGGAATAACTTTGTTTGTAGAAATACTCTTTGATCACCTCATGTCCACCCCACCTTCATCTCACAAAGAGGACGTTGCTCAGAAAGCTTGACTGGAGCTTCCAGGAAAAGGAGTTTGTGCGGGCTGGGGTGAGGGCTGCAAATTCTGGTGCCAGACCAGGGACCAAGTCTCAAGAGGGGTCCCAGGAGTACCTTAGTTGTCACCTCTGGCCATGGGGCTTGGCAGTGCTGACCCAGTAGGACTCAGGTGCCTGGATCCGAGAAGGCAAGGCTGATTTGGAGACTACTTGACTCATTCTAGGATGAGCTCATTTGCTCTAGCCATCCTGAGGATTTTGTTCAGTCTAAACCTTATCGTGAATGAGGTCCTGCAGGTCAAGGGTGACCAGGGACTGGGCTGACTTTCCTCTGATTCCCTGGGACCAGCCCTGCGTAGAGGCCTCCAGTCAAGGTTGCCTGAGCATTCCCAGGGTGCTCTGAACGAGCGCAATTGTGGAAGGTCCCAAAGGCCGAGAAAGCCCCACCTGTATGCACTTGCGGTGATAGATAGTTTGACTACAGCATGGGCTCTGGATGTTTTCAACACTTGCTTGGGATAAGTCTTCACAACACAAGATGCAGCCTTCCTCCCCAACATTCCCCTGTTGGATGTCCTGTGTTGGGCGATGTTTTTCACAAAATGATCTGTGACAGAGTAAATAGACTTGGTTTTGATTTGTCATTGATGAAATTTTCCAGCTGCCTGGCCTAGGGAGGGAAATCAACTGCCCAGGCTGTGCCCAGTGAACCTCCATGCTGCGGAGTGGGAGGAGAGGTGGGGAGGAGGCAGAGGGTGAAAAACAGCCTTCTCACAGCTGCTCTCCCACTCAGCAAAGCTCCAGGGACTATCTCTACAGCCTCTCTCGTTCCTGAAAGCCCGACTTCGTTCTTAGCAGCTGTCTAAGAACCTCAGCTGTTTGTAATTTAAGAAGGGGACAGGAAGCAAGAAATAACCCTGTGCAACTGCCAAGGCAAGACACTTTCTCATCATTGAACAGAGGGACAGATCTACCGGTGAATCAAAACAGGCCTGTGAAAGCTGAACTCTGATTTAATTAGTGGCCAAATTATAGCAAGTTACAAAAGGGCAACTCGCCTTTTCCCCTTCATCACTCACTTGTACTCTCCAAAAAATTGTGAAAGGCAACCCCTTTCTTGGCCACAAGGAAGGTGGAAGTTTCTGACACAGTGATCCTTCTGGCAGTTGATGGCAGCTCCCTTTTTCTTGCACACAAAGCAGATCTGCAAATGAGATCCCAGGCAACGCTTAGGACCCCCAAAAAGACAAACAGGCATTCTGTGGCACATCATTCTGTGGAGTGGAAATTTTGTGAAGCAACAACCACGCCCTTTCCTCAATGGACCTGAAAGCTCTGGGGCTTTAAGCAGCACTGAATTTTTTTGTTTTCCCAGGATGTTGCTCCCTCTCCTCACTTAGAATACTACACCCTAAGAAGCTGGGAATTTAAGAGGAGCAGTTGGGAAATCCAGGAGTCCTTTGACTTCTAAATTAGCAATTAGGGAAAAGAACAGAAGCAGGGATGACCAGGGAGATTTGAAAGGAGGCCTCCCCCAAGGCCCTCATTCCAGGGGATTCTAACCTTCCTAGAAGCCCGGGCTGCCTCCTTTTTGATGTCTTCAGGCAGGAATCCATGGAAACCTCTGTTAGACTGGCCCCGCTGAGGCAGCTTGCTAGACAAAATCTGGGGGGAGGGGTGTGCACAGAACCAGGCTGTCAACATTGATGATCAGTGAAAAAGTGCAGTGGGGTGGAGGAGGACAGGGTGGAAATAGAGCTTGTTGGAATGTATACGCATTTACGGGGTAATTTACTTAATAAAGGCTTACATAGTATTAACTATATGATGGATGCTTTCAGGGCTTTTCAAATATGAACTCATTTAATCCTCATAATAATCTTAAGATATAGGTATTATCATCATCCCCATTTTATAGGAGAAATTACGTGACCTGCTCAGGCCCAGAGAACTGCAGAACCTCAGCTCTTACCTGCCTTTGTGCTGTGCTGCCTCTCATTTACTGAGGACTGCTTTTGAGCATTTTGGGGAAACACTCCCTGTGTATGAACTCTATGTTCACCACAACTCTGTGATACAGATGCTATTGTGATCCTCATCTTACAGAGGAAGCCACTAACTGCAGCATGGTAAGCGTGGCTGGGGTCACACGGCAAGGACACAGCAGGGCTAACATTCATATCCAGGCCCCCAGAACCCACACTCTTACCCCCTTCGCTGTACTACGCCCTTGGCATAGAATAAATATTCTTCTCAGAGTGTGTTCTCTATAGGAAGGGAAATAGGGCTTTAAAATGTTTTCACTGTAGACATTCTGCCTGAGAGTGGAAGGAGAGAAATTTAACTTTTTAAAACACATTTTAGCTCTCATCAGTGTAACTTGGTTGGGCATCATCCCGCAAAGTGAAAGGTTGCCTGTTCGATACCCAGTCATGGCACATGCCTGGGTTGCAGGTTCGGTCCCTGGTTGGGGCACATACAAGAGGCAACCAATCAATGTTTCTCTCTTTTCCCTCCCTTCCTCTCTCTCTAAAAATAAATAAATAAAACTTTAAAAAACACACACACTTTAAAGGGCCCTTTGTTTCTGGAAAGCCCCCAAAGCAGACTCTAGAATGTGAAATCAATGAAAGAGAAGCTAAACTGTCATGTACTCATAAACAATGTATGTGTACATATCTTGGAAGAATGTCAGCACTCCTGCCCTACTCCAAGGGCCTTCCAAAAATACTGGGGTAGGTGCTGAACTTCCTGCAGTAATTACATGTAACGTGAATGGGGACTCAGGTTATTTTATTTTAACAAGATAGAAAAGGTGACCCTATAAGGTTAGGTAACTTGAGGGCACTTAGATTATAACCATGTGTTCCCAATTAGGGTTAAAACTGATTTATTTTAAAACTAATTATCTCAGGGCTTTAGGACTACATGAGTGATTTGCTTTATTTATACTTTTAAGTATTATTGTTTTCTACAGTGAATATGTATTATTTCTATAAACAGAAAAATCAGTAATGAAAGATTAGAAACAATGTAAATGTCCTTTAATGGGGATTTGTTTTAATACTTTTTTGGCATGCCTATACCATGGCATACCAACTAGCTATTAAAAAGAAAAAACTAGATCATGTTCTACGAAATGACCATTAAAAAGGCAAAATACAAATACAAAACACGGTGTATAGTGTGTTTATTTTTATGTCGAAGATGTATATGCTTATAAATGCACTGAAATTAACCAAGACTGTCACCAAAACCAGATGGGACTTACAAGAGGGGAAAATCACAGACCAATCTTTCTCATGAGCACAGATGTAAAAATGAAACAAAATATTAACAAACTGAATCTAGCACTATATAAAAAGGATAAAACATCACAGACCAAGCAGGGTTTATACCAGAAATGCAAAGTTAGTTTAACATTAAAGAATTCAATTGATGTAACAAATCACATTAACAAATTAAGGGGGAAAATGATGATCATCTCAATAGATGCAGAAAAAGTATTTGACAGAATCCAATATACATTCATAATACTCTCCAGCAAACTAGATATAAAAGGGAGCTCCTTCAATCTAATGAAAAGAATCCATGAAAAACCTACAGTTAACATATGTTAATGGTGAAAAATTGGATACTGCCCTCTGATGTTGTTAACAAGACCAGCATATTCACTCACATAACTTCTACTCATCTTGAGATTGAAGGTCCTAGCTAGAGCAAAAAGTCAAGAAGAAATAAAAGACAAAGATTGGAAAGGAAGAAGTAGAATTGTTTTATTCACACATAACATAGTGGTGTACACAGGAAATCCTAAGGTGTTTACAAAAGAAAAACACCAAGAAAACTACTGAACTAATATGTGAATTTAACAAGACTGCAGAATATAAAATCAATGTACAAACATAAATTGCATTTCTATATACTAACAACAAACCTGAAAATGAAATTTTAAAATACCATTTAAAATAGCATAAAATCACACAATATTTAGGAATATATTTAACAAAAGATGTGCAAGTGTTCTTCACTAAAAACAAACAAAAATATTGCTAAGATACATTTTTAAAGGACCCAAATAAATGGCGAACTTTATCATGTCCATGAATTGGAAGACTCAATATTGTCGGTCCATTCTTTAATGCAAGCCCCATCTCAATCCCCACTATAATCCCAAAAGCTTTCTTTCTTTTTTTAATTTAAAGAAAAACTAAAAGTTAACTATAAAATTTATATGGAAAAGAAAAGGACCTGATAATCAAAGAAATTTTGGAAAACACTGCAAAACTTACAAAATACTTAATTTCAAGACACTACAATGCCACAAAAATCAAGACAGTGTTGTACTGGTATAAGGATCGACAGATCAATAATATAAAATAGATCATCGAGATGCACAGATATATGTATGGTCAATTAATTTTGAAAAAGGCACCGAGATAATTCAATGGGTAGGCAAAGATTTCTTGGGACACACACACAAAAAAACTAATGATGAAGAAAAAAATGATAAACTGGACTTCATCAAAATTAAAAACTTTTTTCTTTGAAATACATCATTAAAAAAAATGGAAAGGCAACATGACAGGGAGAAAAATAGTCACAATATACATATCTGAAAAGAGATTTGTATCCAGAATATATATAAAGGACTGTTACAATTAATTCAGACAAAAGAATCCAACTTTTAAAATGGACAAAACAGCCCTGACTGGTGTGGATCAGTGGTTTGGGCGTTGCTCCGCGGACCTAAAGGTTGCTGGTTTGATTCCTGGTCACGGCACATGCCTGGGTTGTGGGCCAGGTCCCTGCTTGGGGACCTGTGGGAGTTAACTGATTGATGTTTATCTCACACATCGATGTTTCTCTCCCTTTCTTTCTCCCTCCATTCCCCTCTCTCTAAAAATAAATAAATAAGTAAAATTTAAAACAAAAAGACATTTCATAAAAGAAAATATGTAAATGGCCAATAAGCACATGAAAAGAAGCTCAGCATCTTAAGTCATCAGAGAATTGCAAATTAAAACCACAGTTACAATACCAATACACACCTAGTAGAATGGCTAAAATTAAGACTGACAGTATGAAGTTCTACGAAAATATTGTGCAACTGGAGCTTTATAAATTGCTAGTGGGAGTGTAAACTGGTATAACTACTTTGGTAAGTGATCTGGCAGCTTCACATAAAGTTAAACATATAGTTTGCATACAATCAGTAATTTTACTCCTAGGCATTTTCCAAGAAAATTGAAAACGTGCTCACAAAAATACTTGTGCATGAATGCTCATAGCAGCTTTATTGATAATAGCCCCCAAATGGAAATAATTCAAATGTCCCTCAACAGGTGGATAGATAAGCAAACTAAAATATATGCATACAACAGAACACTACTGGGGAATAAAAGGCACAAGCTATTAACGCATGCAACAACGTGAATCGACCTCCAAAAATCTTCAGTGCGTTGAGTGAAAGAAGCCAGACACAAAAGAGTACAAATTGTATGATTCCATTTATATGAAGCATATGAATAGGCAAAAGTAATCTATAGCTCAGTGATTATCTCTGAGAGGATTGACAGGAAGAGGGCAGGAGGGAACTTTCTAGGGTGACGGAAATATTTTGATCAGACAGTGTTTACATGGGGATATACATTATAAATAACATGAGTTCTTCATATAGCATGTAAGTTATATCTAATAAAAAAGAATATTGGGAAAAAAATCACTGGAAGGACTGTTGCTAGCACTTGCTTCTGGTAAGAGGGAGAAAGGTCGGGAATACTGTTTGGGGAAGAGACTTTTTATTGTACATACTTTATACTGTTAGGATTTTATACCAGGTATGTATTTTTTAAAAATTAGATTTTAAAAGAAAAAAAACTGTTAAGGAAGGAAAACAACCTAACAGGGTTATAGATCTGAGGCTGGATGCAAAAACATAGAACAGACTGTACAGCAAAAGCTGAGACATTTAATGGGGGCTTTATACTCACAAGACAGAAATAGTGCATGCTGAGATTGTCTTTTTGAAGAAATTCCCCTAATTTTTCGGGATCCCCAGGTTCTCGAAGGCATAGCAGGCATACTGGAAGACAGAATGTTAAGAATTCACTTTGGGAACATAACCATCTCTCTAAGTACCAGGAGGAGTAGAGTATTGGGAAGAGGGTCATTTTGACAAGAAGGGAGGTTGGGCTGAAGTGTTATTTGATATGTTAGGTCTTTATATAATTTTGGTCCCATTTGAAGGAGTTGGCTACAACTACTCACTTCATATTTTCTTGTCTTAAGTGGACTTAACATGTTTCTTGAACTTTGGATGTGACATTTAAAAATCACAGACCCCGCATTCTTCATCATCTTAGAGAATCTGGGAAGTAGGACTGACAGTAAGAGGAGCAAATTTGATGCCCTACACAAGTGGTCTTTGCTGTGGTTGGGAGGCAGAAGCTGAATAAAACCTCCAATCTTTCTTACCGGGCCCCGAAGATGGCTTCCTCTGGGTCACCCCCCTTGTCTTGGCAGATTTTCTATACAGGAGAAGAAAGAAGGATCCTGTCAACATCTCTTGTAACATTTCCTTCAAAATTCCATTCATGGGTCTGATGAAGTACCAGAATATCTAAAGGCTAAGACATCAGTTTTTCTATTTTATATCTTTTGAAAGCACAAAAGATATCTACTGAATTGTTTGAATTATGTGAGATAGTAACCACCTTTCTGTTTCCGGTGCCTCCATTGCCTGTGTTGACTGTCTTGACTGAATGAATGCAGAAGCAAACATCCCTTTACTGTTTCTTCTGTCATCTACTCTGTTTCTCAGGAGCTATCACATTCACAAAGTATAATAAAATGATACTAAAATTAAGAATTTTGGATTGCTAGACATTCTTGGCTCTTTACATATGTTAGCTCAATGGATCTACAGAATGTTTTAAAAGGTGGGTGCTATAATTATGCATATTTTCTAGATGAGGAAATGGAAGCATAAAGAAATGAAGTAACCTGTCCCAGGTCACCTGTTAGCAAGTGTTACAGACAGAATATGAACCTAGGTAGTAGAGTTCAAAAGTCAGTACTTTGATACTCGGGAAAGTCCTAGGAGGATAGGTTACTGGGCAGATTCCAGAATACCAATGGTGTGTGCTTACATCTTACCCAACTCTAGCCCCCAACACCATGAAAATGGAGTAAAAAAAGTACAGCATATACCACAGGCCATTGAATAATTTACCCCACGCTCCCTTCTGTCATCTGCTTTACCTCAACCTTTGACATTCTTTCTTCTTTTCTTTTATAGTCTTCATTCGCTGAAGCCTCTCTCTCCTATCTTAAATTCTTCTATATTACGAGGACAATACAGGCTCTTCTAGCTATAAAAATAAACAGTGATTGGTCAGCAATTTTATTCTACAGTTGGTTATCAAGTTCCACAGGGTCAAAGCAATAGTGCACTTCACCTCCCAACCTGTATGTCAGAATATGAGACCCATCCAGTATCAATGCTAGTAATAGCCAATAATTATTAAATTATGCCAACAACTGTTCTAGACATTTAAAAAAGATTTTATTTATTTCTAGAGAGAGGGGATGGGAGAGTCAAAGAGAGGGAAAGAAACATCAGTGTGCTTTTGATCAGTTGCCTCTCATACACCCCCAGTCAGGGACCTGGCCTGCAACCCAGGCATGTGCCCTGATGGGAATCAAACACACAACCTTTCAGTTTGTGGGAAGATGCCCAACCCACTGAGCCATGCCAGTCAGGGATGTTCTGGGCATTTTACATGTGTTAACTCACAAAACCCCCATGCAACAGGTGCCATTATTATCCCCATTTTCAAGATGAAACTGAGGTACAGAGGGGTCACAGAGAAGCACTAACCTACAGTCAGAGGTACTGCTATCATACAGCGTGTAACAGTTTAGAACCACTGATTGAACTGGCTAAATGGCTGTTTTCTTTGTGCCTACTAATTCCATGAGGTAGCACTCAGGGAAAAAGGCTCCTTTCCCCCCCAAGTATGGGTGCCTTAATTCTGCCCAGTAAAACTAGATTAGCTAGTTTTTTCCTAGGAGGAGCTTGTGGGATTTCATCTGCCTAGAGCAACAACTCCCTCTAGTGAGAGACAAGAGATAACACTAACAAAGCACCCTTTGGCTCCTGTCACTTTTCACCAGGCTCAGACGGCCATCGAGATTTGGCCTATTCTCAGCTTCTGTCTAGATCTGAGCCAAGAGTAAATTGCCTAAATGTGGAAAAGATACCTGCCACTACTTCCCCCACTCCACCAATGTCAGCCGACATGCAAAATGGTAGTTTTCATTGGCCAAGGGGAATCCCTGAAAAGGAAGAGGGACCAAATAAGTAAAGTCCACTCCTATGAAGGAAGGTCTGCTTAGTCAGGAGAGGGAAGGACAGCATTTCCTAGAAGGAGAACTGAGTGAATCAAGTCACTCCAGGGATACACACTCCAGCATCCATGTCCTCACTGCACAGCTGGGAAGCCATAAACATCTTCAAGGACTTTCAACTGCTCTGTAGAATACAACCACTAAGTCAACTACTAAGGCTATACCCGCCCTTCCTCTCTTTGGGTTTGCTCCATCTCCTCTTCTGACCCATAAGTTGCACCTGCAGAAGAAATGACATGGGATGGCTTTTACACAACAAAAGCACTTGGACAGGATGGAAGAGGAGAGAAGGGCGTTCACTAGGGGATCCACGTGAGCTGACTACTGAGCGGTTCCGAGTTGAGGGGAGAGACCCCGATTGTCTAGCAATAGAAATAAAACCTTGAAACTTCAGTTCTTTGCATCGCTGGATCAAGACGTTCCTTGAATGGGATTCTGTGCACACTGGTAGTTACGGGAAGACGGAACAATCTTCAAAGCACTGAAGGAGGGTCGATGCAAGGGGGCGCTTACATAAGAGGTTTAGTCCGAGGTTTCCTATCCGCGCGATGCTCCTTTGAAACGGTTACCGAGTTGTTTCGCTGGATAAGGGCTGCGTAAAAGCTTGTTGTGAAAATTAAAAATAAATAAGCATGTCCGGCCCCGCCGCCACAAGAATAAACAATGATTGGTTTGGAAAATGCGTGTCGGTGTGGCCACAACCGTCCCCCCGAGGTAACAGCCGGCGAAAGGGCTCAAGAAGCATCCCGCGGAGGCCAGACCAGGATCATGTCGCGCCTGCCGGGAGACTGGTGCGGGACCGCGCCGGAGGTTGCCTCCGCCGCTCACTCCTCACGGTACCACACGGGCCGCTGCTCCTGGCCGGGGCCGCCAGCCCAGTTTTGGCCAAGGACACCTCTGTCCCGGAGCTTTATTTGTTGTAGCTGCCTCACGGGCGGCCGCCCCGCGCGGTGACTGCGCCGGCGAAGGGGGCGAGCGCGCAAACGGGGTCCGGGTCATGCGGACTACGACCCAGGGAGATTGCGGCCCCGGGGAGTACGGCTCTGCGGACCGTTGGCTGTGCGGAACCGCTAACGGCCGCGCGCCAACGACCGCGCACCTGCCCTCCCCTTTGCTTCGCCCCTTTCCCTCGCGCCACAGGCGTTAACACTGCTCGCCCCGCCCTCCCTCTGGCCACGCCCCCTACCTCGCCCCGGACACTGCGGCTGCGCTCCAGCTCGTGGAACCAAACCCGCGGAAGACGAACCCAGAGGCGGGGCGGAGGCCGTCGCTCAGTGGTGACGTAGACGCCGGCGCGGGCGGGTGACGCGACGGGGCCCGTTGTCTGTGTGTGGGGCTAGGGGCCCCGGGGGCGTCGGGGGCTCCCGACGGGGGCGGCGGTGGGTCAGGGGGGCCTGGACATGGCGCTGAGGGGCCGCCCCGCGGGAAGATGAATAAGGGCTGGCTGGAGTTGGAGAGCGACCCTGGTGAGGAGGGGGCCGGCTGGCCGGGGGCCGGGGAGGCCGGGTGGGTCCGGGAGGCGCCTGCCTGACCACCACCCTCCCCTCTTGTCGCCCCACCAGGCCTCTTCACCCTCCTGGTGGAAGATTTCGGTAAGAGTCTCTGCTACTCGCAGGACCCGGGTTGTGGGGGCCCACTCCTGCGCCCTTGCCGCACGGCCAGGAGCTGCCCTTCCCTACTTCTTTCTTTCCCTGATCGCAGGTGTCAAAGGGGTGCAAGTGGAGGAGATCTATGACCTTCAGAGCAAGTGCCAGGGGTGAGTCGCTTGTCGGCAAGACCTCCCTTTACACCTCGAGGACTCGGGAAGGGCCTGGGGAAGAGTGCCCCTCAAGGAGGATAGTATCAGAAACCCCAAGTTGTGAAAGCTCGTATAAGGAAGCATTCCTACTCTTTGGGTGTTCTCCTGATGACGTTGGTATTTTTATTTTCTCCCAGTCTTGCCTCAGCACTTCCCTTTATGTAGTAGTACCTACCCCGCCCCTACAAATTCTAACCATCCTTTGGAGTGCAGTTCAGCTGCTTTTTCTTATCTTGGAGCAGGAAGCCAGGCTCTTGTCTATACTCAGACCACACAGTGCCTTTTGTGCAGCTGTAATTTATTAATTACTGCTTTAATGTGCCGGTGTGCCAGTGCCTTGTATTGATTGACAAGGGTCTTGTATTGTTTGGTTTGTGTGTGGCATCTACCAGGCTCCTTCTGGATGAACAACCTCAGGGTCTTGTTTTGGTGGTCCTACAGAATAGAAGTGTGGAGAACGGCTGCAGTGGTTGAACTGATAAGTCTGCTTTTATTTCCCAGGAAAGAAAGGGCTGATATGGGTGTTCATTTTCTTCCTTGGCTGCATTGGGGTGCAGGCCTTGGGGTTCACAAGTGAGAATTAGTGTTTAAATTCCTCATCAGATTTTTTGTTCTCACCTTACCTTCTGTTCCTACCCTGCTCTGGGCCATTGGTTCCAAGTTTTCTTTTCTTATCCCAGAACCATACACTTCATAGGGACACTGGGTAGACTCCTGGAGAACCACACCTAGAAGCTGATACTTAAACAACTTGTGGCGGGCTTTTGGGGTGTCAGGGCTCAGGGCCAATTTTGGCAGTGTTGGACAGAAACCAGGGGAGAACTGGGATTACGGGAAGGGCACCTGAGGTAACACAGTGCATGGGAATAGGGGAAGGAAAAAGGGAATACTGGTGGCCTTCCCCCACTTCACTGGTAGCTCTGCTTCTTGCTTCCCTCAGCCCCGTGTATGGATTCATTTTCCTCTTCAAATGGATCGAAGAGCGCCGGTCCCGTCGCAAGGTCTCTACCTTGGTGGATGATACATCTGTGATTGATGATGATATTGTGAATAATATGTTCTTTGCCCACCAGGTCTGTTGGGCTTTGTGTTCTGTCTGGAGGGTGGGATGCGGCCATTTTCTTTGCTTGGGAAGTGGAAGTGGGAGAAGGCAGGAAGACGAGATCGGCAGATACCAAGGGTGGTGGTTGTAGAAGTCCCTCGGCAGAAGAAATTGAGCTTTTATTAATTACAAAAGGGAGATTCTTTAGAGCAGTGTGGGGTCTGAATCCACTCTCCATGTCCCCAGGCATCTGGTAGGGTATTTAGTTAAATGAACAAATGTTGGGCAACATTTGATGAGGGTGGTTGTCCAGATAGGACTGGCCTTCTCTGGATCCCCATTCACAATGAATGTGGGCTTCGATTGAGGGCTACTGTGTATGGGTGACTGTTCTTGGTTTCACAGCTGATCCCCAACTCTTGTGCCACTCATGCCCTGTTGAGTGTGCTCCTGAACTGCAGCAATGTGGACCTGGGGCCCACCCTGAGTCGTATGAAGGACTTCACCAAAGGCTTCAGCCCTGAGGTAGGCCGCAGTGCTTTAATCCTGGCTCATAGCTGGGTGGGCACATCTGACCTCCAGGGCCACTGATGCTGCCAAATGACGTTTGGCACTATGAGGCTTTTCATTTTTCACATGAACATTTACATTGCATTTGACTCTTAAATTAATTGTGTAAGGCCATTGGTTTTAGGCCCAGTAGTAAGGAAAGGGAACAAACCTAGGGAAAGAAGGAACACTGCTTAAGCTACACAATTTTAGGACTTTGTCAGCACTGTACAAGCCACATTGCTCCCAGTGTCCACTGATTACTGTGCAAGGACATTAGAGCTTTTCTATTTGGGGCTCCAGAGCTCTTTTCTGCCTTGAGGGGAGTCCACCTGTGCTTCTTTAGGTTCCTGGAACACCTCCAGATCTGCTCTCCTGAGCTTTGTTTCCCACCCAGAGGCTCACCTGAGAAGTTGTTCTGATCTGGCTTATTTTCTTCCCTCTAGAGCAAAGGATATGCGATTGGCAATGCCCCCGAGTTGGCCAAGGCACATAATAGCCATGCCAGGTGTGTAGGAGCTGATGGGGGTGGGGGTAAGGAAGGGCTATCCCATTCTGGGTCCTGACTTTGTCCTTCCTCAGGCCTGAGCCACGCCACCTGCCAGAGAAGCAGAATGGCCTTAGTGCAGTGCGGACCATGGAGGCATTCCACTTTGTCAGCTATGTGCCTATCACAGGCCGGCTTTTTGAGTTGGATGGGCTCAAGGTCTACCCCATTGATCATGGTAGGCACTCATGGGGCGGGGGGCCCTTTGGGTTTCTCTGCTAAACTCCTAAGGAGCTGGGGTCCAGTGTCCTCAGGTGCTTGGGACTCAGTGGTGGGGGATGGGGGGGTGGGTATTTAGGACATCTGGCTTTGGCCAGATGGCACCCTGCACTGCATTGCCTGACTAGCCTCTGGCTCCCTGGATCAACTGCTCTCCACCCTCACTCCCACTCTTGGCTTGCCCAAACTGAGTTTCCCACTTGCTGACTCCTCATCTTGGTGTTTTTTAGGGCCCTGGGGGGAGGATGAGGAGTGGACAGACAAGGCCCGGCGGGTTATCATGGAGCGTATTGGCCTCGCCACTGCAGGGTAAGAGCCCTGTGCCTCCCCTATCCTCTGCTGCTGTGTCCGCATTGGAAGGAACACAGAAAAGGGAACCAGAGCAGAGAGAAGCCAGGTGACTTGTGCGAGGCCACATGGTGAATCTGAAAAGATCAGGCTTCTATCTTGGGCTCCCAGCTCATCGCCCTATTTCCCGCCCAGGCTACCTATAGCCTGATTTGGGGAGGGGGAGGCCTTGGTGGCCCAGGCATGCTGGCTCACTTCCTGCCAGGCCCTTCACACAGTTCACGGGAAGGCACCAGCTCAGGTGCTTGGTGTGCATGGTCAGCTGCTTCCTGCCTGTCGTGGGACCTGTACCTGTATGGCTGTAGTTGTGACTTCAGGGAGCCCTGAAAGACTATCTGCCTCAACCTGTTGTTGGGGCTTGGGTGGGAGCTGCTCTCACAGCTGCAGCTGTGACTGCAGGGAGCCCTACCATGACATCCGCTTCAACCTGATGGCGGTGGTGCCCGACCGCAGGATCAAGTATGAGGCCAGGCTGCATGTGCTGAAGGTGAATCGTCAGACAGTACTGGAGGCCCTGCAGCAGGTGGGTACCCTCCTGCCTGGTTCCTTCCCAGCCATCTTCTCCTCACTGGGGCATCTGTCTCTGATTGCCAAATCAGTGTCGTGGATCTGGCATTCAACCAACCACTACCTCTTTTGTGCTGTTTTTGGGAAAGGTGAGACTTCAGGTGGGGAGGGAAAGTCATTTCCAAAAGGAGGTTTGGGTTTGACTATTGTAGTTCCCTGGGACGGAGTGGGTAGAGCCAAGGCTCTTAGCTGTCTGAAGTAGAGTCTGGGGCTACCTTCTCTCCTCTCAGCCTTGGGTTCTGTTTTCAGTTGATCAGGGTAACACAACCAGAGCTGATTCAGACTCACAAGTCGCAAGAGTCACAGCTGCCTGAGGAGACCAAACCAGTCAGTGGCAAGTCCCCCGTGGCTCTGGAGGCAAGCAGGGCCCCAGTGGCCACTGAGGGCCCCCACACAGGTACTCGGGGTCTTAGGACCTCACGTGGGCCTCAGAGCCACCCCCTCATAGCTTGACCTGGGAGACCCAAACAGAGCAAGTCTTTTCCTGTGGAGGCCCTCGGGCAGTGATTCATGGGCTCCTACAGGAGGCCTGAAGCCCCAGTGCTTGCATTACTCTTCCATCTGAACATGGAGAGCTGTTTTTCCCTAAAAAAATGCAACTGTAAAGGGCTGCCATTACCACAGGCCCCTGAGCTTTTTCTGTAATGCATATTCCCTTTCTGTTTTTCTCAGAAGCTTTTTTTTCTTTCTGCTGCCCTCTCTTTTTCCAGCTCACTCTTCTCCTGTCACGCTGTGGGCCCATGACTGACTTCCCACCAGATTGCTCAGCTGTTCTCTGGGAAGGGAGGGGGAGCAGTGCTGTGTCACAGGACTAGGGAGACAGTGGGCTGGGGACAGCTTTTCTTGAGGATCTGGCTGAAAGTCCTGCTTGTGCCTCTTCTCTCAGATGGTGTGGAGGAGGTGGCTGGTTCATGCCCACAAGCTTTGACCCACAGCCCTCCCAGCAAACCCAAGTTGGTGGTGAAACCTTCAGGGAGCAGCCTCAATGGTGTTCCCCCTAACCCCACTCCCATTGTCCAGCGGCTGCCAGCTTTTCTGGACAATCACAACTATGCTAAGTCCCCCATGCAGGTAAGCTGGGAGTGCCCCCACAGGATTCCCTCCGGGATTCTCTTGAAAGGCTGCCGTAGGCAGTTTCCTCAGGTGGTTCTCTGGTGTTTGTTGTCCTGGTTCCTCTGATAGTCAGAAGTACCCACAAAAGCAGGGGCTTAGGGAGACAGAGCTCCTCTGACTTTAAGTACGTGGCAGTGGGCCTAAATGTTTAGAACATGTTCTTCGGTACAACTCTATGGGTTGGATTCTGCTGGTCAAATGAAGGCACATGTTTCAGGGCACTCTGTTTCTCTCAGAAGCCCTGTGCAGGCAGGTGGTATGAGTGGGCAGCAGCTTTCCTACGAGCCAGGGGTGGGTTCTGGAACACCTAGAGGGGTTCTGTGGACTTGACCTGGGAACCACGTTGGCTTTCTCTCTGGCTGTGACTGCTTTGTCCAGCCTGGGCTAACTGACCTCTGCTGATGGGCTGCTCTGGGCTTCTGCCCCAGGAGGAAGAAGACTTGGCAGCAGGTGTGGGCCGCAGCCGAGTTCCAGTCCGCCCACCCCAGCAATACTCAGATGATGAGGATGACTATGAGGATGACGAGGAAGATGACATGCAGAACACCAACTCCGCCATCAGGTCAGCCTCAGCTCTGTAAGGCTGGAGGCTCTGAGTGCTGTGCATCCTGTCTTGGATATTCCAGCTCGTGTCTGAGAATACCCTTCAGCAGATAGACAGTGCTGAGCACCTGCTGAGTACAGGGTCCTGGGGGAGGCTGGCATGAGGCAGGCTGAATCCAGGTCCCAAGAAGCTTTTGGAGGGCTAGGGGAAGGGGGCAGGTTGAGCCCATTTAACCAGACATCAAGATATGTCCTGTTGGGAGGTTGCCTTTTGGCTAGGCCTTGTAAAAACTGGATGAAGCGGGGAAGGAGATAGGGCAGGGGTACTTTGCTGGACGACATGGCATTGGCAAAAGGCTAGCAGTTGGAACAGAGAAGGTGTCCTTTGAGGACACCTGGCTGCGGCTGTCAAAACCTAGGGTGCCAGGCTTGGCATGGCCGGGTCAGGCTGCTGGATTGAGTGAGGAGCTGCAGTGTCAGTCCCTTAATCACCCAGGGTCAGGGTGTGTGCAGACAATTCTGGGCATTGCTGGGTGTGCGGTCACCTGGCCCACTCTTGGCTCACCTCTCCTTGGACCCCACAGGTACAAGCGAAAGGGGCCAGGGAAGCCAGGGCCGCTGAGTGGCTCCGGGGATGGGCAGCTGTCGGTGCTGCAGCCCAACACTATCAACGTCTTGGCTGAGAAGCTCAAAGAGTCCCAGAAAGACCTCTCCATTCCCCTGTCCATCAAGACCAGCAGTGGTGCTGGGAGTCCAGCAGTGGCAGTGCCCATGCACTCACAGCCCTCGCCCACCCCCAGCAATGAGAGCACAGACACAGCCTCCGAGATTGGTAGTGCTTTCAACTCACCACTGCGCTCGCCCATCCGCTCGGCCAACCCCACACGGCCCTCCAGCCCTGTCACCTCCCACATCTCCAAGGTGCTTTTTGGAGAGGATGAAAGCCTGCTGCGTGTTGACTGTATACGCTACAATCGCGCTGTACGTGACTTGGGTCCTGTCATCAGCACAGGCCTGCTGCACTTGGCTGAGGATGGTGTGCTGAGTCCCCTGGCACTGACAGGTGGGCCCTGGGCTGGCTCACCGGCCACTTGGTGTACCAAGGATGGAGGAGGGAGGTAGCCAAGTGACCTCCGAGTGTTCTGCATTCTGATGGGTCTTCTCCTGCCTTCTTTTCCCAGAGGGTGGGAAGGGTTCCTCGCCCTCAATCAGACCAAGCTTGGGCAGCCAAGGGGCTGGCAGCCCAGAGGAGAAGGAAGTGGTGGAAGCTGTAGATGGCAGAGAGAAGTCTGGGCTGGTCAGGCCCAGTGAACCCTTGAGTGGGGAGAAGTACTCGCCTAAGGTGAGTCTCTGTGGGTTTCTCTTCTAATCCTAGCAGGGGGAAGGACTGGGTTCTTGATTGGAGTTTTGGTGGGAAGGTTGGTGGCTTTGAAGCCTGTATCAGTTGGGTAGTGGAAGAGGCCTCAGTAAGCTCCAGGCACTCTGGCTGCTTACCCTTGCCTTTCGCTGCTTCCTGGTAGTATGGCTTTGGTGCTGAACAGCCCCCCTCATGGGTACAATGCTGGGTTTTGGCAGGAGCTTTTGGCACTACTGAAGTGTGTGGAGGCTGAGATTGCAAACTATGAAGCCTGCCTCAAGGAAGAGGTAGAGAAGAGGAAGAAATTCAAGGTGGGTCATCTCTCTAGCTGCCTGGTCTTCTGCCCATGACTGCTGTCCTGGGGGCATGACCTTTCAAGGTAACCTGGTAGTGGCTCTCTGGAGATTGGCTGCAGCGCCCTTATCCTTTTCCCCCACAGATTGATGACCAGAGAAGGACCCACAACTATGACGAGTTCATCTGCACATTTATCTCCATGCTGGCCCAGGAAGGTGAGGGTACTCCCTGCGTGTTACCTGGCATGCTCTCCTAGGGCCATGTTCCTCACTCTGTCAGGCCCCTGCTGGGGATTGAACAGACTGTGGAGCGCAGGAAGGCCCGGGACGCCCTCAGCTGTTGGCCTGAGCCTGTGGTCTATTGAGCAGGTGGCTGCTGGGCATCCAGCCACCTGCTTAAGGGCCTCTGCCTCTCCGCAGGCATGCTGGCCAACCTGGTGGAGCAGAACATCTCAGTGCGGCGGCGCCAAGGGGTCAGCATTGGCCGGCTCCATAAGCAGCGGAAGCCTGATCGGCGGAAACGCTCACGCCCCTACAAGGCCAAGCGTCAGTGAGGACTGCTGGCCCTGACTTTGCAGCCTGCTCTTGCCTTGTGGCCCTCACCAGGGCCCCTTCTCTGCCCTACACCCCGCTTCCCAGTATTACTGAATAGTTCCAGCCAGAGAACCTAGACCCTGGAAATGGAAGCCAGGCCAGGATTCCCTGCATTGTGCCCCCGGGTCTGGTAGGGCAGGTCAAGCCCATAGCGCTCAGGAAGCAGCAGCTGGAGCTGGGGCACAGTAAGGTGCTGTGGCTTCCTCCACAGCTGGCTGTGGAGCTGCAGGACTTGGCCTTTCTGCCTGGGTAGCTGAATATATATTTTACCTACAGAGACGTCTATTTTTCTGGGCTCTGGCCCATCTTGCCACCACTGTGTTGACATAGCTGGCTTCCTGACTATGTGTTCTCTCTTAACAGTTGTTCTCGTGGGACCTGGGTGGACATGGGCCTGTTGCTCTAGCCCCAGCCACCATTGTCTCTGTTGTGAGGAAGCCAGGTCTGCTCTTTGTTCCTCCTGGGAGAACCCCAAACTCAGGGACCTGGATTTTGGGCTGGTTTGGGAGTGGAGGGTCCCAGTGGGGGTGGGGTGAGCAACCTGCTGGAGTCCCAGGCTTGAGCAGAGAGGAGTGTCTGAGCTGTTTGGTGGCTTGTAAACTCCCTTGTTGGCTCCAGTCGGGCTTGTCAAGTCTGCTTTCCCCTTGAGCAGGGCTCCGGGGCTCTTTGCCTTCAGTGTTGTGGCCCTGGCAGTGGGCCTGCCTTGGGCTCCTGGGCGCTATCCCTGGAGCCTGGGGCTCAGAGGAGCCTCTACCCATCCCCTCAGTATTACCATGTCTCCCTTCCCTTAGGGGTAGCAGAGACAGGGCTGCTTGCTGGAAACTGGCACCACTCAGCTCTCCCTGCCACGCCAGCTTCCTCAGCCTCTGCAAGGCACTCAGGGTGGGGGGACTGCAGGACCAAGACAACCAGTTGGAGCCCCCATGTCCCCAGAGGGCCTGATGCCAAGGAGTAACGGGGCTAGCACTGCCTTTGGAGCTCGCCCCCCAAATACAGCTCCATGGCCTCTGCCAGATGGCTTTGAAGGAGATCCAAGGAGGCCCCTTATCTGTACATAGTGACCTGGGAAGGGGGAGGGGGGACACCTGGCAGGCATAGCAGTTGCCTCTGCACTGAGCACAGCCTGACCCTTTGACCCCCTGTAAATATTGGATCAGTAAGTGAATAAAACTCATAAAAAATTAACCCTCCTGTTGTTGCTGGCCTGAGGTTTGTAGGCTAGGCTGGGATGGGAGTGAGGACCTAACCAGGACTGAGCCCAAGGCCCAGTGACCAGAAGCAAGAAGTATGCATTCTTGAGTATTCAGCCTTCTGGGGAAGAGATTCTTATGACCCTAGGCCTGAGATTTAGGACCTGAGCTGAGGAGGGGCTTCAGGTGGGCTGTGGAATCTGAAGAGTCGTGTCCAAGGTGTAGTTTGGCAAGAGAGGGACATGGCTTTCATCAGATCTGACAGCTTTGCAACCTGGAGAGATGCTGGAGCTCTAGGTTGAGGAAGGGCTACCTCTAGTCCTACCCGGTGTCCTCTCCCTGAAGGGATCCTATGACCTTGGAGAGCTCATCTCTCTTGTTGCACCTGGACAGGTCTAGCAGGTTAAAGCTGCCAGCTGTCACCTCTTCCCTCTTGGTAGCCACGTTCTCTTTTGAGGCCACCGTAGCCCCTCACCCTCACTGTCTCCCTGGCAGTGAGTTCTAGAGAAGGGGCCTGATGTAAGCAGGTAAGGCTCAGCTGGATTGCTTAGAAAACTCCACTTTAATGGCTCCCTCCCTTCTTCCCAAGTCTAGTAGTCCAGGGAACAGATGAGGGCCACACCACGCTTTATCCAGTGTCGCTGGGGCTGGTAAGAGGGGATCTCCACAGCAATGATGTAGTTGGTGGAGTGACCTGTGGTTGATAGTGTTCCTAGAACAAGCAACAGAGGGAGAGGGTTAAGTTGTTTGCCACAACTAGAGAAGGCCAGGGTAAAGGCAATGGATTTGGCAGACTTGGGGACAAAGAGGGAGTCCTGACCCAAGGGGAAGCCCACTTGGTGAATGGGCCTGGCCAAGGCTAATGCACTGACTGAGGACAGGCAGCAATGGGAGAGGTGACACCACTCATTTCCTGTTGGACCCAGGCCAGGCCCATCCCCCCTCTCTAGGCTGCAGTTACCATCTTGGAACATTGCCAGGCTGGAGCTCCCAAGACCCAAGGTGGATCTGCTGAGGGAGGCCGCAAGATGGTGAGCTCAGGGGCTACTCCACAGACAGCCCTGCCTGCTGCTGCCAGGCTCTGTCCTTCCCTGGTTGGTCTAAGGACTGCTGACTGACCTCTGTTGGCATCTTGTTCAGTCCTGGGCCCCCATCTATAGTGTAGGCTCCCTGCCCGGGGCCTCGTACCAGAACGGGTCAGTGTCTTGTAGATGGGACACAGGTAGAAGGCCTGGTCCTGAATCTTGCGGTTGGGTGTTGGCAGGAGCCAGATAACGGCCATTTCTGTATATAGCTCCTTGGGCCGAGACTCGACCAGCTGGAAGGCCATGGGGTCCCAGCGGGCACCTTCCAGGAACAGGCCGTGGATGTAGCACCCCTCTTCGGGCCTTTTCTTGAGCTCCAACACTGACTGGTGCATCACCTATGGCGGGCACACAGACATGCCCCACACATGTCAATACCCAGAATCTGGGTTAGAATTTTGGTTCAGAAGCACAAACCCCTGCTGCCTGCCTGTCCATCACTCACCCATTATTTTAGCTGGTAGCCTACAGTCTATGTCCTGCCACTTGGGATTTCCCGGGGGCTCATGGCCTCTTCTGGCCTGGCTCCTTTTTCCCCCCAACCCGTGCTCAGGGGTCCTCTGATTCTGCCTGCTAGGTGTGGCCTCAGGCCCATCCAGCCCAGGCTGTACCTCAGCCTGTCACCTGACCTGGCCCTGGCTGTGTCCAGACCTTGAAATCGAAGGAGATGGTGTCAATGGAGATGACAGACTTGCGGGCAAAGTTCTGCAGGGTGCCTGTCAGGAAAGCCTGGGGGAAGAAGAAGCCACTGATCCAGAAAACAGCTGGGGTTCCCTCTTGGATCCAGGTGTGTAGGAAGTCCAGGCGTTGTAGCAGATCCATGACCCATGAGGACAGTGGCTTGAGTGATGGGTAGGCTTTGGCATTCCAGAGCTCAGGCACAGTGTTGTTGTACAGGCTGGCAGCCATCAGCTCTAACTGTGAGGACATCACCACCAGCCCCTTGAGTGCCTTGAGCAGGTCTTGCAGCATCTGTGTGATCACCTGCAGCAGCCGGTTGTACCTGTGTAGCCAGTGGCAGAGAGGCAGATAATGGGCCATGTAGCAGTATCTACATCCTCAGTTGTAGGCATAAACAAAAAAACGATGGCTGAATATAGGGACTAGAACATAGAGCTGGGTACGAATCCGGGCTCTGGCCCTTAGCAAATGTGTGACCTTAGTTCACTTAATCTTTCTGGGCTTTGGTTTATCCATCTGTAAAGTGGGAATAATAAAAATGTAGCAGCCCTCCAGGATGGGTTTATAGCAGTTGGTATGGCACCTGGACCATAGTACCTCTTGCTGTCATTTCTCTACAGCCTAGTGGTCCATTGACTCAGCTGGTGGAGGTCAGGGATGATTGGGGTAGGGGGATTACCGAATGACCTCCTGTACTAGCACTGTGTTCATTGACTCCTCATACAGCACAGGGTACTTGCTCATCACCATCTGCAAGTTGATGGGCTCAGGCACCTGGAGCAGAATGTTCTGGGCCACATCTTCCACTATCTGTAGGGGCAAAGGGATACTTTGGGTCAGGGCTGGCCTCTACATCCCTTATGGGATTCCATATGCACAGAGTTTCTTCCCACAAGGGAGCAGGCAGGAAGGTGGGTGGGAGATTAGCCCTGACCAACCCTTAGGTCCCTTCCCCTTGCTGCGACCCACCTCCTCCCTGCTCAGGCCACCCACAGAGGATGACTTAGGTTGCAGCTGTATTATAGCACCAAACAGAGTGTAAGTCTCATTCTGGGCAAAGGTGATGTTGGCATTGTCGTGCAGGCCAAAGATTTCAGGCATGTCGTTGAGTGGGAGGCTCTTGATGTAGGAGAGGTAGCCCTGGGGGTTAGGGAGGCACAACTGAAGCCCCTGCCTGGCTCGACCATCAGCCTGTGGGCAGCTTTCCAATTGAGCATACCCCCCACCCATCACCCTGGTTGTAAACGCATTGTTCTTGGGGCTCCATGGCCCCTGAGGCGTCATGTGAGTGGCTTCTGCCTCCCTCCCAGCTCCCTTCTCACTTCCATCCAGCTCATTGCTCCTTCATTTGGCTGCTCAAACCTGTCACTCTCCCTTGTTTCCACTGATGACCCATATTCTGGAATGCCTGACCCAGCCCCTGACCACTCCTCTCACATCTCAACTGAAGCAGCATTTCTTCAGGGAGCACTGCCTGATTGTGTGGGCTGGGTTGAGTTGCCCCTGCCTTACCTCTGCCTCCCTGAGTGCCTCTCAGGCAGTAGTGAGTATCTGCATGGGATGGATTAATCAATGAGAAGGAGCTACGGGAGGGCAGAGGCCACATCTTTCGCCCAGCACCCAGGGGTTCACAGTACCCAAGAACCCAGGCTGTGCTCACGTTGAGGTCATAGGTAGGTTGGATCTGGTGGTAGATGCCTGAGGTGCTGTAGCTGTGCTCGGGGAAGAGGACTTCGGGGTTGTAGAAGTCTTCCAGAATGTTCATGATGCAGCGGCGGTCCCAGTCATCGGTGACCCGGCCCCCATAGTTGATCTCCCCTGCCGTGTACTTGAGGACCTATGTGGTGGGTGGGTGAGTGAGGGCCCCACAAGTGTCCAGCTCCCCACCCCCAGCCTGTCCTCAGCCCACCTTATAGGGGATGTCATCATACTCATCCAGGAACATCTTCAGTTGGCTGATACAGATGCGCAGGTCCCCGTCTGTGAACTCATAGGGGATGTTGAAGCCCAGGGGCCCAAACTTTCGGCGCTCCAGTGCATTCCCATGGAACAGGCACAGAGACAGCAGAAGGGACTTGAACTCCATCACCTGGGAAAGGTGAGGGACACGAGACATGAGGAGCAAGGACAGGGACAAGTGGGGCAGGGCACTACTAAGTGTGCCTCACCTTGTGACAGGAGTTGAGGAAGTCATCGCTGAGGCTGCTGTAGGACTTGAGCAGGTTGGCCTTGACACCACGTGGCGGCTCAATGGTCATCTTGGAGCCATTCTGTAGGATGGACACTGGGAACTTGTTGCTGGGAAGGCTGGTGAGCCACAGGCGGAAGTCCCGGTGCACCTGGTGGCCATATTCCACATGAGCTTTGGGACCCATACCTGGTAGCCTTTCCAACACCAGGCTCCCTCCAAACCAGGGACCCTGGGCCACCCTCAGCCTGACTCTACCCCTAGGTGGGCCAGAACAGGCTACACGGGCCACCTATTAAGAATATAAGCTTTGCACCCTAACTGGTGTGGTAACGTGACTTGGGGTGCCACTGGGAAGATTAGTGTAGTTGATGCATGTTCCATACATCGGTCCCTGAGCACTACCTGTGTGCCTGGGTTGGGCTAAGTGCTTTGTGGGACCATCTCATTCAGCTTCATAGTCTTGGGTGGACACATTAGTACTCCCTTCAGCAGAGGAAGCTGGTGTACCTTGTCAGGATTGATGTGCTCAATGAGGTGCTCTAGGGCTGGCATCCAGCTTGGGGCCAGGTGGCAGTTCTGGAAGAAGACCCACTTGCCTCTCTCTATGGAGCTGCGCATCATGGCTTCTGCCCTTGGGCCCTGTGGGGGTGCAAGTGCTGAGTGGTGGGACCGGCTGGCCTGGCTGGTCGTCACCCTCTTGGCCCCACCCTTACCTGGCCCTGGCCCAGGGAAATGGCAGAGAGCTTCTTGGAGAACTTCATCTCTTCAGCAAACTTGTATAGGTCGGCAGCGGGGTCAGTGCCAGGTGACAGCACGAAGATGAGAGGTGTAGTGGAGTTGGAGTCTTTAAACACCACTGACAAGTTGGCTGTCTGCAGGGCGGAGAGAGGTGCCAGGGCCACGTAGGGCTAAGGAGGCACAAGGACTGGGGCAAGGGACAGCAATCTTGGGGCTCCAAGAGAAGTCCCGGGGGGCTTCTTTGTGGGGTTTGGAACATCCCAGAGCCTTTGGAGGCGTAGGGCTAGGAGTCCTGGACTGATGAAAGCTGC